TTATTTATTTATTTATTGCTTTATTTATTTATTTTTGTTTTTGTGGTTTAAAAATCTTTTACTATTTTTGACGTTTTATTTAAATATATTTTTTAATGTTTTTTTTTTCACGTTTTGTTGGTCCAATATAATTATTTAAATGTTGTTTTTTTATGTGTTTTTTGTTTACATCATTCACTTATATGTAGGGCTGTGAATGAACTGAACGTTCGGTAAGGTTCGTGAACTGTTCCGCGGTAAGTTCGTTTATGTTTGTTTATTTAATAAATGAACGAACATGACCAAAAATTATAGTTTGTTTAGTTAAACGAACGAACATAGACAATGGTCTCGTTCGATCATTAATGTTTGTGAACGTTCATTTATGATGTTCGTTTACGTTCATTTATGTTCGTTCGTTTAATTTATTTATATTCATTTATGTTCAATTTTTTTTATTATATTACCATATTATATATTCGTTTATGTTCATATATGTTCAATTGTGTTTGTTTATCTTTGTTAGTTTATGTTCGTTCGTTTATGTTCTTTTAGTATGTTCACGAACATAAATGAACAAACATGAACAAGATAATTTGTTAAACGAACGAACATGAAAAAGAAAATCTCATTCGTTTATCCGTTCGTGTTCGTTTGTTTGTTCGATTAACTTAAACGAACGAACACGAACAAGCCATTGTTCGTGTTCGTTTGGTTCTATTACAGCCCTACTTATATGTTAGTGTTTGTTCTTTATTGAAACAATAAAAGATTAGATTGATAGATTCTATAAACGATGTGAACAAATTAACACAAACAATGAAGATCAAATAGTGCCGAATGCTTTGATTGAATAGCTTTAAAAGAGTTTAACAAGAACTTTTTTATAAAAGCTAAGTAGGGTAAATACAATCGATACCTTTAGAACGATACATGCATACACATTAAATACTCTAACCCTAGCAAACCATAAACACGGATGGACAGACCAACACGTTACAAATGAGACTATTTACATACAAAACATTTGACACAACACATTAATAACCCAACAATCCCCCCCTTTGTGTCAAATAAAGAAAGGAGATTCTTCATTGTTGCCTCTTCTGAACCTGTAACAGCTTGATCATCAAATTCAAAAGTTTATTTCTGATCACAAGATACCACTGGATCATGTCATTGAAGCATTTCAGATCTGCATCATCGTTTGCTTTGCATGCGACAGTCAAACTCATGATATTGTTGAGAGCAACAGTAGAGTATAAATTTTTGTCTAATAAAAAGAACAAACTCTTCTGAACTTTTTCACCTTCCCTTTGTTGATACACGACACTCCAAGTACCTTTATTTAATTTACCCAACTTCAGCTTTCGGAAGTCCTTTGGTTCTTGTTCAGGTTTCACAACTGGCTTTTTCTTCAAAACAGAAGCTATTTCTATATCCATCTTTGTAACCTCGTGAATATAGAAAATAAGCATTCTTTTCAAGTGAGCGACAATCGGTTCATATTATGGTTCATCCTTGGGCAAAATTAGAAACATGGATATCCAATCATTTGGATTCATACATGGTAGATCAGCAAGAGTAAATTCAACTTCAGTACGACTTGATCCCCTGTAACCTTTAAATTTGACATTGATTAGATCATCAATAGGAAAAGATGCATAAACCTTTACATCAACCATCTTCTGTAAGCTCCAAGTATGAAGTTGAGGCTTTCCATGCTTGAGATAGAATGAGAAGAGCATATTATTGATGTCATAATCTGAAAGTAGTGCTCTCTCAACTTTCTCAAAGCATCGGAATAGGAATGCTCTCAGAGTAACTGGAAAATCAAACTAAGAATCTGCCGTATTACCCAGTTCAAAGGAAACCAAAAGCTCCAACCAACGTAAACTTGGTTCATCAATAGCCTCTCTTTGAGTCCTTACCATAGTCCAGGGAGGAAAAAGCATTTGTTGAGTTTTCAAAGTAACTTTCGTAATCTTGTCTTCCCTTTCTTGATCTTCTAATTCTTTTCTAACTCATAGAATTTCATTAAGTTCTTTATCCCTCTGCTTTCTGACAAGCTTATCACCTTCAGATAACTTTTCTTCTTCATCTTAATCATCAACAATATTTTCTTTACCCATTTGACCTAGAAGCTTCATTACCCTTCTGGTCAACCTTCGGTTTCTGTTCATATTGTTCATCGCATTTTTGCTTAGGCTGGGGTTGGGGTTCTTCTTTGTGGGTTTCTTGTTTATCTGCGTTTTCTCCCCCTTGTTTCGGAATAGCGCTACTTCCCGAAACACCCTCTAGTTGATTGAGCATTCCGAAGACAGGCTTGAGCTTTTCAAAGAGGTGTTGTGTCACACCCCCAAACCGGAACGGCGGAAACGTTCGGGGGTGGAGGACGTCATGTTTAGTATCACAACACATGCATCATAGTAATCAAAGTAACAAGCAACCATTGTATTAACATTAAAGTGTTTACAAAGTATGTGATTCACAAAAGATTGACTTCAAAAGTAAATAACAAAACAAGACATGAAGCTACTATGCTCCATCTTTCGATTCCCAGCGCGCGTATCTGTCTACTAGTTTCCTGAGAATACAAGTTATTTTGAAAGCGTAGATCAGCATCTAAGCTGGTGAGTTCATAAGTATTTTAGTGATGTAAAGTAAGTTGAAAGTTCTTTTTAGAAAAGTTCCCATGTTCCTCCAGAAAATCCTATATCTTCTGATATGATGAATGAAAGTAAAAATGACTCTACAATTCCTTCTATGAGTACTAAATGGATAAAAGTTATATAAAATCCAGATCAAAATAGGCAATCGATTGTGTGAATCTGCCCTAAGCCCACAACCAAACAAGGAACAGGAAATGAGGCGGAAGTCACACATCCCATTGTTTGTTAGATCTTCATTATATATAATCCTGGTGTATTCATTTGGTACTCACGGAGTTAACTGTAATAGTTCCTTTATATTTGATGAAAACATTCTTTA